ATATATATATATATATATATATATATATATATATATCCCTTTCAAAAACAATGAAATGCATAGGGACCATGTTCCAAACAATAAGAAGGAAAACTTAAGGGCATGTGTTATTTGGGGGATTGAGTGGTATTATAGGGTGGGATAACGAGAAATAATATTTGGGGTTTACCTATTATCTTGTTTGGTTGATAATTTATGTGTAATACTTTTTTTTGGCTTACAATATCGACTCAGTTTGTACAGTAGTCTTTAGCCCTTGTATATGACTTTAATGAATATCACTGACCAGGTGGTATTATTTGGTGGTATAAATTGATCGACGATATAAGCAAGAAAAATGACACAAATATACTTTTGTGTAGAGTTTACATATAAAAAATTTATTTTAAATTTTTTTATTATATTATGTTTAAGTGTATAGTGTCACTGTTTTTTTTTTTTTTTTTAACAATTTTTAAAAAAAAATTATTTTGAAGTTTTTCTTTATATTTTGTTTAAGTGTACAGTCACCGAATTTTTTATTTTGAATTTTTTCCTTGTATTATGTTTAAGCATATGATGCCACCGATTTTCTTTTTACAGTGTCACCGATTCATAGCATCAGATTATTTATTATTTATGTGAATTTTTTGGGTATGGATTTCCATATCATGTATTAAATCAAATATTGTGCAAAAGCGTTATACAAATAGAGTAATGGAATGAATGATGTTAAGAGTAAAATTGTATATTTGTTATACAAGTTGTGATAGAATAGATGATTATTTGTGAAACCCACTATAGTACCTATTGAACAAACAAACAAAAATGAGAAGAGATTGAAATACTTTATATTACTGGTACTAATTTTCATTTGTATTGAAAATGTAAGGAATACATTTCTTAATACCATGCATAACAATACTCAAAACAAACATGCCCTAAGTGCACTTATAATTGATGATGCACAAAATAGACTTATACAAGATCAAGAGTTATAAAAGTGTAATTAATGGACAATTAATTGAGCAATCAATGACAATAATGTAAATATCGGGTCAACACATAGATATAGTGGTTCAGTCTGATAACCTACTCCATTCTGAGAAACGACAATGGTGAACAGGGGGATTTTTTATTGATTAAGTAAGGTGAACGAGAGAGAGAGCAATGGTTAGCCTCAAGAGGAATATAATAGTTAGGAGAGAGAAAAATTATTTGTGGGGTGTATATAGGAATGTCAGTGGATTGAAGTGGGGGCGGGGGTTGCAGTCTCCATCCCCGTACCCACTTAAAAAAACTCCGTCTACCCCCATTAACGGATATAGTTTTCATCATCATCCCCGTTTGTAGGTAAATTTTTAATCTCAGTCCCCGTCCCCGCTTCCCTGGTACCCACTCAAGCCCAAGCCCATACCCAAGCTCCATCTAACATAATTCAAAATTTTAAATAATTCAATAATATTCTAAATAATCTAACACAATATAATGTAGAATAACATATTTTAACATAACACAAATAACAAATGTCCAAAACACTACTTGAATATTTGTAATAGTAAAACTTTTATGTCATGTAATTTCATACATGTAATTTAATAAAGAAAATCAAACATAAAAAACTATAATAATTACATAAAAAATATTTATATTTACTAATAAATGTGGATATGGATTTCAGTATTAACAATATGGATGATTCTATAAAAACTAGGGAACTTAGATAGGTTGGTGGAAGCTAACATGCATTCTCATAGTCATAATTGCAGTTTTCAACTTTGAACATATATTTAATTATATATATATAACGGGGGCGGGGCGGGGGTAAGAGTAAGTTCATCCCAGCCTTCATCTCTATACGGGTTTATACAGGTATTCTCGTATATGTCTCTTGTCTAATGCGTATGGTTTATTCCCATTTCAAACGGGACAAGTTTGAACGAATACCCATTTTTTCTCAGTCTACTGTTATCCCTAGGTGAGTAGAGAGGTGTCTCTCATGTAGAGAGAGTTTACAATTTATAGACATGAAACCCTTAGGTGAGGCGGTGACATGAAGGCAAATATACTAATTTTTTGAGTATGATAGTTACTAAAAATAAGTACAATTAAAGAGTGTTTTGATTTTCGAGAGTGAATATCTCGATGATTGCTTCTCATGTGCTCTAATTCTCTTGAACTTCGTGAACCTTAGGTTGGGTCAAATTCATGAACTGAGTTTAGCCTACCTTGTAGCTGATTTGGACTAATTTGATTTATTAGTCTTGAACCGATTAAATTTAGACTCATCAATAATTCCTCGAGGAGTTTGGTTTATCCTAATTTTTTTTAATTTTTTTTTAATAAATATAATGTCATGTAAGTTACTTTGGAATTAAATTTTTTTTTTTATTGATTTCAATACTAACACAAACACAATACAAATCAAAAAATTATAAGACTCAAATTAACACCCCTAAATTTTATAATTTTTTGTCAATGAAACAAAATCTTCGATCCTTAGGCACCGACCCATATGGCATCGGTGGTTGTATTGACTATTGAGTCCAGGGAGCGGGGAGGTACCAATGTTGGGTCCCAGTGCGACGGTGGCCTCACAGCTCTCGAGAATCAAAATTTTTAGTTATGTCGGGCCCTAAACGACGAGGACCCCACACGTTTGAAAAATTGGAATTGTTCTATGAGAATTCAATGGTAATTTTATATATTATTAACAACACAATTAGCGTTGCACCTGAATATGTTTAAATAATAATAATTTTTTACAAATTTAATAAATTTTTATTTTAATTATTGTCAAACCTAATTAGTGATATATTCTACCCCTCTTCGAATATATAATATGTTAAATTTGCAAGTACCATTAATGTTGTTTCCAATCAACAGACGTAGTAGAATCATAACTACCAAATAATTAGTTAGATCTATTGAAATTCATTAATCTAACAATTTACGAGAAATTGATTAAAAAAAATAGATAAAAAGATTTATCAGTAATGTAGAATTGTTATTAAATTAATGAACAGAATTTGTCCAACTGAANATAAATTGATTAAAAAAAAATAGATAAAAAGATTTATCAGTAATGTAGAATTGTTATTAAATTAATGAACAGAATTTGTCCAACTGAACCAGAGGATAAATTTTATAGGCCCGAGGAATTTAAATATTGAACAATAGAAGTTTTTTTTTTTCAATGGGTGGGCAAGTCAGTGTATGTGCACCTCGATTTATTTCCTCCTCAGTCCGACCAAAAATAGATCATCCATATCAGAATTAAAATATTTATAAGGAATAAATCTTTCATAATTTAACCCTAAAAAGTTGTTGAGATTCAAACTGAATAGAAACTTTTGGGTATACATAATGACAACAATATTTACTTGAAATTATTCACAATACTATCATTGTAAACGAGTGTCAATCTTTGTTGTGCCGTATTATTTTTGGTCGAATAATTTTTTGTAAATTATATTCGTGTCAATATTTGTATCAATAAAATATTATTTAATTCTTCAACATCTCATATGATAATTTGTAAAAAGAATTTTAAAAAAAATCACAAATACCCATTTTTTTGTTTACATTATCTGTCAATCGGGCATAACCTTATTTTGACCTATTTATTATTTGTGTCTATTAATTGTGTTATTTTTAAATTTTAATTTGAGCCTTTTTAATATCGGATTTGTATTAATAGGTAAAATTGACACAAACTTATCGATCAAAAGAGCACTGGCCCTATGAGAGGTGTCTTTTCTGTCTTTTACTCAAATGCAAAGTTCGAATTTCATGGGTCGCCTCCGATGTATGCATTGCGACGAGATAAAAAAAAGAAAAAAAAAAAAACGAAGAAGAAGAAGAAGAAGAAGCTGCTATCATTTTCTGTGTCGGCACCAATAATGGAAGCTGCTATCATTTTCTGTGTCGGCACCAATAATGGAGCATGGTAGCTCAGTGTGATGCTAAAAGCCTAAAACGTTTCATCGTATGAAATTGGTGACTTTTCAGTGGACATCGCTGACTCAAAGAAAATGACTTTACCATGTCCCTACAAAGTCTGCCCACGGATAGGTCAAATTGCAATAAATTGTAAATGTGTCGAATTTAAATTTTGATAATTTTTTAGAATTATGTCATAAGATATTTAACTTTTATAAATATCCTAGTTCTTATGGCAATAGCCTACACTTGATCAGACCGGAGAAAAAATTAATCGAAATACGTATAATTTAATTCAAACATTCCTGACTATTGAACAAAAATAACCCATTTATTGTAAAAATAATAAAATAAAGTACAACAATAAAATAATAAATAAAAATATTACAAGTAATCTTATTTTATTATTATATAAAAAAATTAATAATTATAACATAGACTCCTAACAAGTAATCTTATATTACAAGTAAAATATTATTTTTTTATATAATTATTTTAAGTAATCTTGAATTTTCATTATAAAAATATAACAACAATTAAGATTAATTTAATCTTCATCTACTTTGATCCAATGATACAAAATTAATTCTAAAATTTTTTTTCTCACCCAAAAATATTAACTTCTTTGCAATGACCCCTACAGTCCAATTAACACATTTCTTAATGTCAAACAATCTACATCTACCTCTCTCTTCATTTTAAATTGTGTAATTAACAAACTAAATTATTATTTAAAATATAAATATTACATGATCAATTCGATTTTTTGGTATTATATAGTACTTTCAAATACGAAATTATTGCTACTATTATATATAACTCAAAGTCCATATCTCTTTAAACTATTGTCCACTAGTTTAATCAACTAGAAAATTACCAATCAAATATTATTGCCAAAATGTCCAAATGTTTATTTAACTAATTAAATTCAAATTGGAAGCAAAATCTGACTCATTAGACCAACCAAATTAATACCGTGTGTCTCTCAACTTTTCTTTTTTTTTTTTTGTTGTTAGGTCAAAATTAAAAGAAGCCAAAGACTTGGAATAATGGGAATTCATATAACATTAATTATATAATAATGAAGATAGTGCTCACTGCTTTACATACATCCTAGCATACACCCATATAGGGTTACAATAGAACAGATAATGCACTAAACAATACCACCATGAACCTTCTCACTATTTGTAATTGATGGATAACCCTAAGCAAGCTTATATCCATTCACTAGCAGTTCTTATTTCTAGCAGCTAATCTACCCACAGTACATATAGTGACTCAGTTGGTAGGGAAAGCCAATGGTGGCCTAGTAAGGTGGCTTGTAGTGTGGTGGCGGTGCCTTCTTGTATGGAGGGAAGCGACCATGAGGTGGGAATGGCTTTTTTGTGGGCGGTGGCCTAACAACAACGGGTGGCAGAACTGGTGGCTTGATGGGTGGTGGTCTAACAATAATGGGTGGCAGAGTTGGTGGCTTGTACTCTGATGGCGGCTTCTTCACCGGAGGCGGCTTGTGAAAAGGCTTTGGTGGTGGCTTCTTGAATGGAGTTGGTGACTTGTAGTTGGGGGGAAACTTTACCACCGTAAGTGGCTTGAATACTGGCTTTGGCGGCAAGTGCACCGGTGGCGACTTCTTGAACGGTGGATGCTTTCCAAATGGTGGTGGCTTGAATACTGGCTTTGGTGGTAGGTGCTCCGGTGGTGGCTTCTTGTATGGGAGAGGAATGGGTGGTTTGTGCTCGTAAGTGGGTGGCTTGGGGTGTTCAGCAAGAGAAGGGGTGGCGGTGAGTATCACCACCCCAAGTAAGAACAACAAGGAGTATGGGAGAGACATTTTGGGGGTTCTTGGTGCAAATCTAAGGAGATTGAGGGGGTATTTATAATTTTTTTGGGCCATTTAGGGCTTGACATCTGTCAAGATCCTATTTGTTTTGCGTCAACACGTTGGTTGTAGAGAAATTTTAGCAAAAGATTTTTTGTGTTCATTGCTAGGTACATAAAAGAGACGGTGGTCCTCTAGGGCCCCATGAGTGGAAAAGTTGGACTATGGAGGCAAGGTTGTGTCTTAAGGAAATGGAACGACCGGGAAGTGTGCTTCATATTAAAATGAAAATAATCTTAAAAGGTACATCAAGCGACAATAAAGATAAATTATAAATTTAGATATTTTAAAATTAAATTTTGACAACTCTTTAAGTTTAAACTATGATAAATATATTTCTCATGAATATTGTAAGAGTAGTTATTATCCATATAAGATTTTACTTGAATATCCTTATGTGACCTTTCGTAAGCGGGTTTTAGTTGATTTTTGGAATCTTAGTCTAATCCTCTTTACCTTTTAAAATTTTGTTTAATTTGGACCTATAAAATTTAAGTCTATTTTAATTTAATTTAATAAGCCTGATTAAATAAATTTGGGCTTTTGGATTAATGAATTTTTTGGGCTTTTGGATTAATGAATTTTGTTACTCCAGTTCACCTTACAAATAGTTTTATTAAATAAAACCATTTGTTAGTGCACATCATCCAAATTCCTTGACGCCATTTGATTTTTATGTTATACTTAAAATCAAATCTTTGATCAAGAGGTTTATTTTTTTATTGGATTTTTAATAATATTATAGAAGTTTGTAGTTTTATTATGTCACTTTTTGTTTGAGGTGTGTGCGGCATCTAAATGCTTTCTATCGTATGGGTGTTTATTCTTAGATGAAAGTTTTCCCTCTAAGTTCTTGCATTTTTGGATAGTTATTTCTATGTTTAAGCACATGTCAATGCTTTGTTAGTAGTTAAGATAACACAATTGATGTTGTCTAGGTTAAGTAACGTACTGGATTTTTGGTTGTCCACACCCACTACGCACATAGTTTGTTTGATGAAATGTCTCAAGTGTTAGATTGTATATTAATATATGTTTGATTGTTTCATTTCTTTGATCAAATTATAAACTCATAAACGTTGTAAGCCATGAATTGATCTGATGATTTTAAGTGGATGCGAATGTATATGCGTAGGAATATTCTTTGTTAGGTGTAGCTATGGCTATTTGCGAAATGCAGTTGGTCCACATCTCGATCAATCTTGAAGTCTTGTGCATATGTATCTTCTTTTTCTTTTTTTTTTTTTAAATCAGAACGTGTGTATGTATCTCGACAATATTTTTTTCGTCATTGGTCCAACAAATATATGTATTTTGCTATGGCCAAGCCTTTTAGATGAATTAAGTTTCATTTAAGACCAGAAAAAATTTAAAAAATATATTTATATAAACTCTTAGCATGATTGGTTAAGGAGTTTGGAATCATATTATTATTGCTTAAATGACCAAATCAATGAAATGGGTACATTTATAATCCCACTTACAATTGATAATGCTAGGTTTGTCCATGATATGACAATACAATTCCTATTCATGGATACAATATGTTCTATCTTTAATTTGGGTAATTTAGTCATTTAATAGATAGTATAATTATATATTAATTATGATTTTTGAAGAAAAAAATAGATTTTTATTTTTAATTTTATTTCAATAAATGACATAATATAACATGAATTTAAAATATTTGATATTATATTTTTTATTAGAGTATTTTTGATTACCCCAATTAAAGATAGAATATATTATATTTATTACAATTTGACCACTTATTTGGGTTTTTTTAATTTTATTCCAATAAATAGAATAATTGTATACTAATTATGACTCTTTCTAAATTAAATTTTTATTTTTTAATTTTATTTCAATAAATGACACAATAGAATATGAATTTTAGTTGTAAAATTTAAAATATTTAATATTTGATATTTGATTGGAGTATTTTTGTCTAAGTATAATATTTTAAACTTGAGTGGTTTAAATATTACACACATACAAACTTTAGGATGTTTGAGTTTAATTTATTAACAGATATACTAAGACGGCAAGAGTTTAAGTGTTACGTGTATATAAACCTCAGGGGGTCTGCGTATAATATTTCAAATATTAGAGAATTTAAGTGATTAAATGATAGATCTCATGAGATTTGGGTGTACTTCTCCCTTCAAGTTTTATACATATCATCTCCAAAAAGTAAAAGATTAATGTTAAGTAAGTCTGATCAAAACTCTAAGATAATTATTAGATTTAATTTATTTTCAAAACAAATACAAAATTTATGAATTATTAAACTCGAATTTACGAAATTTGATCAATTGAGTGTGCAGATTCATTACGAATCCGCTATCAAGGGACAAATTCGCGCGTGGAGCATTGGAGGACTATAACATTGGGTGACATATGTTATAACTTCATCTGTTCATCACTTGCAAAAAAGCTCTGAAGAAATTGGAGGTCACTTGAAGTCTATAATCATGCATTGTCCTATCAACTACTTGCATTGCTTTTGCATTGTTCTAACTAAATATCCAACATGTTCTGGAAAGAAAGTAACCCATACGTAGTCAAATATATGGTTCAAATGCCTACAAGCTACGAAGGACGGATACTCTTGAGACCGTGACGTATTGGTGTCGGATATCGACACTTTTTGGATATTTTTAGACACATGTCTGACACTCTTTTATCCGTATTTATAATTAAATGATAAATTTTTAATTCGGATACTTTTTTAGTGACGTGTTCGACACTTTTTTAGAACATGTCTACTACTAAATAATAGACATTTGTTGAAATATGATTAACAAAACTTAAAAATTTGAGAATATATAATTACTAATACTAGACACATTAAAGTTGTACTCCAAATATAATAAAAAAAATAAAAGATGCATAAAAATTTTAAAAAAAAAGAATTGAAAAGATGAAAACAATTATTTAAATTATATATCAGGTAAGCATCGTCTACAAAAAAAATTTGATGATTATTGACTATAATGAGGATGTTTTAATCTAAAAATTCACACAGAAAACTAGACATTATATTTTCTTATCATAAATTACTGATTTTTTTATGAATTGTATATCATTATCACTATATTTGTAATAAATTATATAATGTTATATATAAAATATAATTTTTTTGTAACATGTCTTCAACATGTTCGTGTCCTACTTTTTTGAGAAATGTTGTATCAAAATATCCGTATCGCATCGTATCCGTGTACCGTTAGGTGAAATGTGAAAAATTGTGATATAAAAGAATAATTGAGGGGATCAGACTAAGCTTGCCCCATTAGACTCCCGCTACTATAGAATTTAGAGAGAGTTGAATATACACAATTTAAGACATACAATTTGGAAGTTTAGGTCACAATGAAGTAGTCTTACCATCGCACTAAGACTCACCCTCGTAAGCTTGCTCAACAATATAAAGTAAAAAAAAAACCAACGGTTAGGGGTGTCTAAACTAACTCATAGGTACTTTGACCAATCTTTTCCTTGATTCAGTTAAAGACAGACCATCCACGTCGAGACTAGGGATAAATCTCTTATGACCTGATCCCAATAAATTACCAAGATTTGAACTCAATACATTTAAATTTATAATTCATCTCTATTACCACTTGAATTACCGTTGAAATTGATAGAATTCTGTTTAATTGCTCCTAAAATTGAATGAGCGATATGTATTGGACAGAATTTAACCAATGTGATAAAATATACATTTATATATCTATAATTGGATAATTAATATAGTTAGAGGTGCAAGGTAAGAAATTATTCGCTAAGGGGTCTATGTGAGATAGAGGATAAAATTGAGGGGTTCAAACTCTAGTTTGCCACCTTAATGTAGAGTTGAAAAGAAAACCATCACCTTCTTCAATGCAATTTTCATTATTTAACACCCCTAATTAAATGAGTGCCCTAATGAAATCAATACATGTTATCCTGAACTAACATGATTCTTGCATTTTCTCTAGTTCTTTTTAAAGGAAAAGTGAGAGAGATAAGTTCCAGTCGAGATTTCATTCCTTGTGGATAGGTCTATTAATTGATTTAATTTTAATTCAAATCTAATTAATTGAGTATAGATTTATATCTTTGAGCAATTATCAGCATCCGAATTAATTATATCACATTTGATAGATGAGAATTTCGATATACCGATATTCAATGCAATTATGGTCTTACTAGAAGTTATACAACGAAATTGAGTAGTAATTTGACCAAATTGCATTAGATTCAATGAAATTTATCTCCCATTGAGTTACTAGGACCGGTTTTTTTTTATTTTTTATTTTCATGGCTTAATTTACTTATATAATGCAAATAAGATTTTTTAAATCATATTCAAATGAGATAGTATCCAATCTAAATTCGATCAGTCGACAAGTAAACCTATTTGTAAGATTCAATAATGGGTCAATCAGTTCTGCATGTCTAGTGTGAAAAAACATGTCATCAACATCACGTATAATCACAATTTAATAATAAACTTATCGGTGAACAAGTTAAACTCGACTAGATAATTAATTTCAGACAATGGGTGGTTATCAAATGATACAGAATGGTGATTACTATTCACTTTATTCCTAAATTTCTGTCGTTTCACACATTTTTTTTATTCTATAATATCTATCATTTAATGAAATCAAAAAATAATTAATATTTTTTCTTCCAAATTTATCCTTAACTTTTCAATGCATTAAATTAGGTGGAGATTAAATATCTTTTATATTTTTTTCTTTCCCAATATGTATTGAATAAAGATATTTTAGTTTTATATAATTATTTTTTACTCATATTAAAATTATTTAATAGTTTCTTTAATTCTTGTGCAAAATCCTTAAACGAAAGATATTTAAGAATGAAAGAAATATAATATATAAGATTAATTTACTTATTTGTTATATTTTTATTATATAATGTCACTATTTAATGGTAATAATATAGTCTCACCGTTATATCTAATATTTTGTCGTCTAGAAAGGGTTTGCCCTATAAAAGGCGACTTAGCTTTTAATCTTTTAACCCATCACCTCACCAAGATGACCCTTCAAGGCTTTCTCCTGCTTTCCCTATGCTTGATTTTCCTCACCACTCCCAATATTGCTGGCTACAACAGTGATGGAGAACAACCTATATTGGGCAAGTCCAAGCCAAAACCACCAAAGAGCCCTCCCAAAACGTCATTACCATTACCACTACCACCATCACCACCATCACCTCCACCACCACCACCACCAACAAAAAGCCTTACGCCATCCTGGTCCCCAACAGCGTTACACCCGCCTTGTGTTTCTGATATGACGCGTTCGCAGTTAGAGAATGTGGAAGTGCTAGATGAAGAGGAGAAGCTACAAGGTCCACTTCAAGAATTCTTCTCTCGTTGGTTTAGGCGACATCGTTCCCCACCACCGCCTCAGCGGCGTAAGCCACGGCATCGATCTCCACCTCCTCGCCGTCCTTCTACTCCCCGTCGACGTCGTACCCCCACCCCCTCCCCCATCAGTATGCTTAAGACAACAAATTAATTGTTTGAAATTATAAGAGCTATTGTCCGACTACTGTTTCTATCAGTCCATGACAATATATATTCATATATCGAATGCTAACTCACTAATGTTCATCGATCGCCTGTTAGAAAGAGTAACTAATAACCATGATGATTGGTACCTCCGGAATTATGTTTTCATTCAAACGACTGATGCTAGATAGAATTTTCCGGGTTAGGCTTCTATCTAAGAAATACTTGAAAGATCATGTAGTTATCTTTGAATGATGAAGATTTGTGTACATTAAGAAAATGTAATTTATGTTTAATTTTAAAAGCAAAAAATACTTCTTGGAGGCAGGGTATTGACTTACTCATTTGAAACAGTAATTATTGCTTTATATATCAGATTTGTCAGAGAAAAATAGAAGAATATTTGGTTGTCTGGAGGAGGCTTTCCCCAAGGAATGATGTGAACTTCTAAAAGTGATGACCTCTTCACCAAGGTAGGGTTTGATGGTATAATTCATCTTTTACATTTCCAGACAGTTTTCATGTTGAAGGTCTGTCTAAGTTGACGTTCTGGTTCCGGAATCGTATTTCTTTCTGGGATGGTTCTAGATTAACTCGTCAGGATGACATAGACAACCTATTTGACCTGTCTTTTATGTGAGCTGTTAGTTTTATTTCTGGCATCACCAATTTGTATTGAGTAATTCTCTCGGAGGTATTGCTCAACAATCCTCTGAATCGAATGTCCTGTTTGGTAAGAGTGACAAACAGGTGGATGGAAAAGTGAGGATAAAAACGGGAGGGAAAGAAGCATTTTTCATTGTTTGGTGAGAAAGGAAAAATGGATGAAATGGAAAAGGGAAGGAAAGAGTTTTTGAGTGCACCATTTTTTATTCATCCAAATATGGGCAAAAAAGGGAAGAGAATTGTTGGCTGCAAAAAGTAATTGAGTTAATTTACATTTATACCTTTATTAATTGCATATTCTCTATAACTATCTTATTAAGTACCATTTGTACAAGGGGCACAATTTTAAAATATTGTTATATAACTTATGCATGGTAAGACACCTGTTGGCATTATTTAATTATTTTTTTATAATTAAATTCTAAAGAACATATGTAATTTTTTTTCAAAAGAAAATTTCTATTGTAAGAAATAAAGACCAAATAAATTTCTTTTAATTTCTCTTCTAAATGGAACATGTACTATAAATTCAAGTGGGGGTCTATTATATAAAAGTGACTTAAACACTGATTAACAATTCAATTACAATTTAAACTTAAAAAGACGTTATAGATTTATAATTTTGTCTATTTATAGAGTAGCTTGGGTTGTTGGTTATTATTTTTGATATACATATTTATATTTATTTGTTTATTTATTTTTATAACTAATTAGAGTGACACTGAATCCCTTAAATTTATTTATAATAAAAAATTTATTTATATATGTAAGGGTATAGTGGTAAATTAAGTACATGTATCTTTTCTTTCCTTCCACTTTTCCTCCAACACCAAACAATAGAAAACTAATTCTTTCCACTATTCATCCATCGTACCAATCACAAAGGAGGAAAACTGTTTTTCTTTTCTTCAAGAATGAAAAGTGTATTTCCTACACGTTTCCATCCTTCCAATTTGAAATCCGAGTAGATTCAAACAAATCAAATGGATTGGATTTCTACAACATAAATCTACATTTTAACTCACTTTCCTTAACTATTTGCTTACTTTTATTGTACATGCATATACAATGGGTTGGGTTCTTATCAGATCACATACATTGAAGTTGTTGGACAGAGAACGCAACAATAGACATTATTGATTTGTTTAACTTTGAGTATAAAAAGTGGTGTTGATTTTCTTTGACGTGCTTGTCATGTGCACTATTATCTGATTTTTGATGTATTTGATTTAGTGATGGGTTTGATGAATTTGATAAAGATGAGGACTAGATCATTGTAATTCTTGATCATCAATTTTATTTTGAACTTTGGTAGCTCTTCTCACCATTCTTCGCAAGGATCGGCTTGAAGACGACTTGAAAGATCTCTTGAAGAAGTACCTTGGTGATGTGTTCTTCTCAAAGCGGTTGGGGGTAGATTCCGACAGGACTTCACTGCTGATCTTCCTTTCTCTTCTTTAGATGGACTCGGACAAAACTTCTTGATTTTCCTTCCTCCCTCGTTCCTTTTGGCTTTCTTTTCCTTTTTCTCCTTGCAAACCCCTTTTTATAGTGTTAGGAGTAGTTATCTATAAATGTGTGAGCTTTAATTAATTTATAAAATTTAAGTCCAATCAAATTTACTTTTAAAAGTTTGTTTAATTTGGACTTGTGGAATTTAGGTCTATAACAGTTTAATTTTAAAAAACTTGTTTAATTAAATTTAGGCTTGTAGAATTTAGGTCCAACCAAATATAATTTAGAAGTCTATTTAATTAAATTTGGACTTTTATTACTTAGGCTTAAGGAATATAAGCTCATAACAATTAATCTGGGTGTCCATGGGCCAGATTGCTCACAAGCTCCGTTACTTGGTTTTAAAAAAATAGATTCGAAACTCGATTGGTCTGGTAATTTGTCCACTCGAACCCGAATCTAATACTTTTCAAGAGAGGGTTTGGGTCTACCCCAAACCCATTACTCGGCCCAATAACTTGCCTGCAAAAATCCTGTAAAACCCAATCCAAGAACTCGTCCGTCCAACCCAGTCCAGCCCGAACAACCCGCCTACATTCCTTTGAAAAAAAGTTAGACACATAAAATTAAAATTATAAACAAAAATATTCATAATTTAGTTTTTGTCTATTTTGACTTTACTTTTAATTCAAATATATAATTTATAAAAATATTTATTATTTTTAAATAAAGTTGTACATAAAAAGTCCGTTTAGTAAGCCCACCCGCAAGCAAGGATCAAAATTTTATTTTGGTGCATTATTTCAGTCACTTAGGAAATAAAAATGTTTGATGTGTTTTGAAAATATTTCGAATCGTTTCGAAAATAGAATGAAAAAAATAAAAAAATTAAAAATTATTTTTTTTTAAAATATTAGTCGAAATATACCAAAATCTTTTGAAATACTTTGAAACATTCCGAAATAATTGTACAAATGTATTGAAATATAACAAACATTATGAAACACCTTAAAATATTAAAATTTAGATTCTATTAGTAATTCATTTTGGTCTTCTTAGAAACGGAAACGTTTTGGATGATTCGAAACGATATTTTTACCCTTACCAGCAGGGCCATAGGTCTGCTCAGTGAGCGACGGGTAGCCTCCTGTTACCCAAAATCCAGCCTAAACCGCCGAAGAGAGATGGGTGGGGTGGGGTGGGGTGGGTAGGATCACGTTATGGTCGAGTAAGAGAAAAACAATAGGATGATAAATTTCTGTTAAGATATTGAAAGTAATAAAATTGAGAAAGACAATGCTCAATGATTTTGTGCCAATTCTATCAATTAATGCATGAAAAATGTGTCGAGCCACCTTAAGATGCCTAACTTTACTTAGATTGATTGAGAAATAGTTGCGATTTTTTCTTTCAAAAAAATCAAAGAGAGGATGTAATAATAGGGCAGCTTAGTGCAAATAATTCTAATGTCGTACGTAATTTTTTATGGGACTTGTTTTCATGGGATTTAGATGTTATGGATCTTGAATTTTTTATTATTTGGACTAATGTGAATATATATAATATGAGAGTTTTGTATGTAAATTAACACATACACCTTGATCGTTGAACCAAANTTTTCTAAGTGAGGTTTAGAGTGATTACTTTATTGGCCTAATGATCAAGTCACCCATAGGTTGTCTATACTATCAAATGACACCCACACAAATGGAAATCTAATAGAAAAGAAAAAATTTAAAATTCAGATATCTCATTCAAATGAGTAATTTTAATTCTAAAAGGAAGACCCCATGCCTCTATAGAGGTTATTTCTCATCAACTGCCTAATTTCCTACATATCATTATCATCAGATATCAAAAGCTGTACTTGGTAGTGGTGGTGGTGGGGGTGGACTGTGGAGCCCTCCTATGTGGATTGTGCTTTAGTTTCCGGTGGTGGTGGTGGGAACTTGGCGCCGCCGCTGGTGGCTGATGTTCTTTTGGGTGGCTAGGTGCTTCTGCTGGTGCTTCTAATGATGGCGATGACTTTTTCTCCAGTTTTGGTCCTTCTGCGGGTGCTTTCTCTGTTGTTTGTTCTGGTGGTGGCACTGGAGCATTTGTGGCTGGCTTGGGCTTGGGATGTTGTTTTGTGCCGTGGTGGTGGTGGTGGTGGTGATGGGAACTGTGTCCTTCTGCTGGTGCTTCCGATGGTGGTGTTGACTTTTTCTTGTCCTTAGGTGCTACTGCTTCTTCTAAGAATTCTGATGTTTCCGGTGGTGGTACTGGAGCAGTCGTAGGTGGCTCGGGCTTGTGGTCGTTGAGGTGGTGGTGGTGGGCACTAGCTGCTATTGCTGGTGTTTCTGACTCCTCCTTATGAGTGTTGTGATATTGAGCAAGAGAAGGAGGGGTTAGAACCACCACCCCAAGGAACAACACTAACAAGTATGTGGTAGTCGTAGACATCTTACTCTCTAGGGTTTATGAAATGGACTTGGGATGGTGAAAAAATGGAAGAGAGGGGTACCCTTTTTATAGGAAGGTGAGACCCTTCCCATTATGACACGTGTCCCATTTCTTACACGGAAGGCCAGGATGCTTGGAGGCATGCCCTAATGTGTTTGAACGGTTATAGCTCCACCTTGAGCCAAAAGGCTCTTTTTTGGTAAGTGATTATTATTTTCAAAGGCTCCATTTACCTTAGGTGACCACTCTTTATTGAATGAGATGAAAAATAATTTATCAGTATAAATTACATTTAAATTATCATCTTATTATAATATTTTACTATTAATAATAACTCTGTATATGAGGACAATACGTGATACTAAAAATTGAGTATTGATACGTAATTTAATTTTAATTATTTAATTTAAAATTAAGATGAACAGAGAAAAAATAAGAAAGACA